CACAACAGAGGCTAATTATGATGTTGCATATGACATGCTAGCACGGCGTTACAATAATCCAAAACTGCTCGTCCAGAAACATACTCGGGAGTTGTTTGAACTAAAGGCAGTCGACGTAGAATCGCCGGTTCGACTACGGAATCTGTTCGATGGTGCAAGAAAACACTTGAGGTGCCTTCAAATTCTCAAACAACCTATCGAGTCTTGGGATGCAATCCTAATTCACTTGATGGCCAATAAGTTGGACCTAATCACCCGTCGTGAATGGGAGGCTGCCTCGTCGGGAAGTGTGCCGCAATCGTACAGCATGCTTGAACATTTCTTCACCGATCGATGTCAAATGCTAGACGCAATTCCTTTCAAAAGAAAATCGCACACTGAAACAATAATTCCTGCGAAAAGGGTTAAATCGGAAGGACGAGTGCTGAACGTCGCCAATATATCTCGAGGATGCGCGGCTTGTAGAGGGGATCACTTTCTCGGAGGTTGTAACCGGTACCGAGCGAAATCGCTTGACGAAAAACTGAAAATGATCAAGCGATTTTCTCTATGCTACAACTGTCTCAAGCCAAATCACACAGCAGATCAATGTCGGAGCAGATGATGTTTCAAATATGACGGAAAACATCATGCGTCGATCCATCGCGAGAGAAAGGATAGCTGTAAATATGATGGTAAACTACCAGATAAACGTCATTAGGAGAAAAGTGAGTAATTCTTCCACGAAATTTCAACTAAATTGAGTAAGAAGACAATGACATTCTATGTAAAATAAATTTTTATACAGAACTTATCCGTCAACACGAGAAGCCATACTTCCCACAGCATCAGTATTGGTTCACACTTCTAACCGTTCACCCACTTTGTGTCGAGCCTAACTGGACTCAGGGTCACAGTTTAACTTCGCTACCAATTCGCTGATGAATCGTTTAGGAGTATCCACTAACATCACTACAGTAAATGTGTACGGCTTTGGGCAAACCAAACAAACAGTTCGCGAAAAAGCATTGGTTTCTATCGAGTCACGTGTATCAGACTACCGCAGGACTGTACCAGTACTAGTGACGGATACCATAACAGGTAGTATCCCACCTAAAGATATCGACACGGATAACCGGAATCTAACGGACGTATACCTAGCCGACCCTGAATTTCATCTTAGCAGGCCGGTTGACATGTTATTGGGAGTTTCAACAATCTTTGATATCATTCGCAGCGGCAACAAGGAGATTGGTGAAGGATTACCGCACATTCAAAATACTAAGCTAGGGTGGCTAATAGGTGGTGGTCCTGCATACATGAAAGCTAATCGAGAAGTAACGATGTTCATTAATGAAATCACTAACAGTCTGTTATCCACAAAATGGACTGAAGAGGAATCTTTGTGTGAACAGTTATTCGTAGATACCACTGTACGTACAGAGGATGGACGATTTATTGTTCAACTTCCACGACAATTAAATGCAGACCTACTGGGTGATTCGAAAACTTTGGCTTTAGGAAGATTCTTGAAGCTGGAATAAAGTGTGTTAAGCATCACATGAAACGCGTCCTAGGATCGACCATCCCCACATATGAGGAGATGTTTACACTTCTCAAACAAATCGAAGGATGCTTAAACTCAAGACCCATATCTCCATTATCCACGGATGTGCGCGACCCTAATCCATTAACCCCTGGTCACTTCCTTGTAGGGGGACCAATTTTGACACTCCCTGACCAAAATTTATGCGAAGCACCTGCAAACCGATTGACCAGATTTGAAGAAGTCCAGAAAATCTTCAATTGGGTTCGTTAATTTTGAAAAATATATCGGTTTTTATATATCATCTGAAAGAGCTTCGTTTTCTGAGCACAGCGATATTTTTTTCGAACCCAATCAAGATTTAAAGCTAAATAATAACTTCATTGTTTGACACTAAACTGACAAACTGACAGCTCGCTCCCATAAAAAGTGACACCGAGGGGCGCTAATAATGTGATTTTTGCAAATGTAATCGTACTTATTTAAAATAGTTCCAGTGTACCAAAATTGATGAAATTTTGGGTTTGGGTTCAATTTTTAATGCAGATTACGAATATGCATTTACCTGAATACCCTTAAAGAACCCAATTGTTCTGGAAAAGGTGGCAAGTCGAATATCTTAACAATCTAAAACAGCGGACAAAAAAGTGGTCATCGAAGCAACCTGACTTGTTGATTGGACAACTATGCCTTGTGAAGGACGATTCCTTACCTCCGAACACCTGGATTACGGGACGAGTAATTAAACTTCATCCTGTAGCTGACAATCACATTCGGGTAGCAACGCTGATCAAAGCAAAAGGGGAAGTTAAGAGATCAATTCGTAAGCTTTGCCTCTTACCAGTTGAAGAAGATGTTGGGGCGGGAATATGTTAAGTGATGTATTTAAATAAAGACGCTGAAATCATTGTGCATCCGTGCACCCCCTGGAATAATATTCATTTTGACAGATAGATGTTCATTTGTGTAGAGTTTGGTTCATTGTGTAATGGATGTCTTTTCCATATGACTCTATTACTGCCAAAGAGTTGACTCACTCTCTTTACTTTTGGACGTCAACCGAAGCGGATCGTTTTAATTGGTTGTCTTCTAAGAATAACTTTCAACCTCCTTCAACCCAACTATTTCACATTAAAGACGTGAGCATGCACCCAACAGGCCCTATTTACCATCCGACTTGACTGAAAAAGCACACTACCTTAATACAGAAAACTTTCCAAAAGTTAGCTACCCATTCTATTGCCGTGTTTTGAAGGAGATGAACATTTCCATGGTGAAGTTGGGTCACGAAGAATGTGAGCTATGCACTACTGCTACTCAGCATCACAAAACATCAGAACATGCCCCAACATCCTCGGCCGAAACTGAGCATTGTTCGATATGCGAAAGATATATCCAGCACTTACAACGAAACTTTTGCACCGGTGGGAAAATACGCAAAGATTCTTCCTGTGATACCATGTCTATGGGATGAGTCGACTGCAGGACGTCACGCAACCGATATAACTAGCTGTTTCCACCAAGTGATCGAGCGATTCAACGACTATGAGGAAATAATTTTCTGGCTGGACAACTGCAGCGCACAAAACAAAAATTGGAATATGTTCCAACACATGACACTTCTGCTGAATTCTAATGCTGTTAGTGTTAGAAAAGTTTCGTTCAAGTTTTTCGAAATTGGACATACGTTCATGGCTTCAGATAACGTCCATGCTGCCATCGAAAAAAGCATGCGCAATAGCAAACCAGCTCAAACATTTCCAGATTCTTCAGCATTGGTCTAAAAGGCCAAGAAAAACGTGGAGGTAATGAAGATGAAGTTCAGCGATTTTTTCTGCACGACCATAAACACCAGCCAGTACGTAATTAATCAGTGCAAACCTCGACCGTATATTGAAAATATAAAAAACATTATTTTCAAGAAAGGAAGCTTCGATCTTTCTTACAGCAATGCTGTCGACGAAAGCAAACCGATGAATCGATGTACCCTATTTTCGAATAAGCAAATGAAGCAGATTCAGTGTGACGGATTTCTTTTGGAAAACACCTTGAAACGGCAGGCATCACCCAAAGGAATAACTGCAGACAGAAAAGCTGCCTTGCTTAAAGTTATTACACCACTCATCAACGCCGACAGCAAATCGTACTGGACTGATTTGCCAGAGCAGCATTCTTCTTAACCGGATATATGACAATTAGTCGTAAATGTATAGAAACGCTTCAAAAACTTTCAGCGGAAATGCTTTTCTTTATCAAATGTTATTTAATAAACAAATCTAAAAACAAAGTTATGACGTTGTTCTCTTGGTTATTTCGTGAAATTCTTATTTTTTTTCTAATGGGACTGACTTGCGGTTGTTTTCCACTTTTCTAGAACAAAGTTACTTTTTTGAATAGCATAGCTGAAAATACATGATAAGTTAAGCTAAATGACTACCCGAACTCAAAATTAATAAAACTGCAGATGGGACTGGCTTGCGGTTTCCGGCAGTAGAAGTCCCTAGTGAAAACAATTTCGATTTACTGAGTAGTTTAATCAGCAAAATGCTGCCAAATGTCAAAATTGTTTATTGCCGAAAATCAGTAAAGATATACTGCTGAAATATTTTCTGATTTTCAGTCAAATATTTTCATTTTGACAGTAGTTGGAATTTCTGGAAAATTCAGCAGCAATATTTTGCTGGAAAATTTGCTGATCTTTCAACAAGTTTAAAATCAGCAAAATTTTAGTGATTTTCGGCGATTTAAATTTGGTGTGTAGACTTAAGATTAAGATTCAGTATGTATAACGCAAAAGATAACTTGGCTCTGTAAAGTTTATTCGATTGAGCCTATACAAATAAATATGCTTACCGAAAAAATAAAAAAAATAAAAATAAAGCACTATCGGGAAGTCGAACCGACAAACTTTTTCATACAAGCGTGCATACAAAAAATGGTTAGTTTCGACTTCCACAATGTGGCTCAAGTTTCCGCTGCATGACTTTCACTAGAAGACAATATAGACACCAAAGTGATGTGATATAAGACAGTGCAAGACAATTGCAGAGGATTTTGCAATTTTATGTCTACGTTGTGAACCAATTTCCCGTGAAATGGCATCCCACCCAGTGGCGTCGCGTAACCTCACTTTTTACCTGTTCAACAACTTTGAAAACGTTATTTAGGGTCATGTTTACATTCAAATCAGTTTCAAAAGGCATAGGGTCTTCTAGTTTCACTGATTTGTATCCATTGAAACCAATATTGTTTTATTTGTTTACGTTTTGAGAGTTGTTGAACAGGTAGATTGAGGTTAGGGCGACGCCACTGATCCCACCCAATGATGCCTACCGCAGCTTTGGATCAACAGATCAGCAGTCCGCCCGATTCAACATCCCTCAAGATCCAATAACATACCTCAGCTTTAGGTAGGAACAAACAAAAAAAAAAGAAGGAAAATAACAGTAATATCCAGTGTACAGCGAGTAATTACCTGACGGCGAGGCCGTGTTTGGAATCATATCCCGCAGATTCGGCGCCGACGAGCTTCCACTGATGACCGCGGTGCTGAACAAGCTGTTGGTGCTGGTAGCCATCTTTTTCCCGAAGCCCCCTAGCATTTTAAAGTAGCTCATCTGGCCGGCAATGCTGTGTCGTTGACGTCTTACGGTTGCGCCGCCGCTGGTGGACGAATGGGACGAACCATGGGAGGACGGACCGGGACCACCACCACCACCAACGGCAACACTGCCGCCTCCGGACGGATTCGTGCTGCTGTCTGTGGTGTACGATTTGACGAATTTCGAACAATGAGGTTTACGGTTAGGTGCAAGGTTACTGTTACTACTGATGTTAGTTGTTGTAGTTGTTGTAGTGGGGAAAGTGAGTGTGGTAGCGGGAAAACTATCACTACTACTGCTACTGGCAACGGGGGCACAATTTTCAAAACTCTTCACCGGAAAAATCCTATCGAGCAGGGATTGGAAGTCGTGATCCAGGGCTACTGGCTCACACGTGCCTTCTTCAGGTGGCGGTGTGGTCAGAGAAACGAACGCGACAGTGTCCTGCTTGGGGTTAGTGTTAGTCAATTCTGAGGGTCCCGAATCAGATTGATCCCTGGTGGGGGTTACAGAGCTACGGATCGGAATTCCCGGATCGCTGGCTACTCGATACAATGCCAGATGATCGGGGGTGAAAATTGGTTTGGGCAAGACGATCGTGATCGTCTGGGATTGAGACTTTGGGCTGGGAACACTGAAACCATTGTGCTTCACGTTAAACAACAGGGTGGTTGTGGAACCGTTCTCGAGGATACCAGGCGTATCGACATCTGTCAAGTAATCCAAATCATCGAAGCTTTTGCTAACGAGAGGCGTCGATGAGTAAAGCATCGACTTGTAGCTATAACCGTTGAACGGCATCAATAGATTGTCACGTTCCGGGTCGTTCGAAAAGGTGTAGGACAGGGCCCGACTGCTTAGGGGATATCTGTAGTGAAAGGGGTCCAAATCATGACAGGCGCTGTAGTACCGGGACGTTTCGGAGTCTGTATCGGAAAACGACGAGACGTACAGCTCTTGATCGGCTAGGTTGGGCGTGAACTCGCTGATGGAGTCACACGAGTAGGACTCGTGCATGAACAAACTCTGACAGGAAAGTGGTCGCTCGTTCGTGGCCGCTATCGACATCCGAGACCGATCGTCGCAGATGGAGGCAACCGAGTTCGTATTGTAAACCCGATCCGCTAGAATGTTGCTCTCCGGTGTTTTGGGAATTTGGGAAAAATCGATCGAATAGAGCGGAAGTTCGTTCGTGGCCGATTCAAAGATCGGATCCGTGCTGGACTTGACAGATGGCGTTTGGCCTACAATCGGTGTTTTTTTTTATTGTTATGACACACACGCACGCACACACGCACACACAAATACAACGAAACATTTAGGTTAGGGTGAACACAAGGGTAATTAAACAATGTTACAGCGAATTATTAGAACATCAATCCGAAAGAAATTAAACAGTTACCATCAATGTGTTTTTCAATGATGCACAACATCGGTTTTATACAATACCCATTAGAGACATTTTCCAGAAACACAAAAAGAACCATTAATCAAAACAACATAATCGATATGGGAAATAGAAAGAGAAAGAAAATAAAGAGAAAACACAATGAAACCAATACCAAATTGTACCGGGGAACCCGAGTGTGTGTCGGTGTGTCTGTGGGAATATTACAAGGTTAATGTGGGCGGGATGCTGTTTTGGGTTGGTTGAGATTGAGATCAATCACCAGACTTTGGACCTTATAGCGGACAGATGCAAGAGAGAGAGAGTGAGCGGATTATGTTATAGGCAAAGTCACCCAAAAACTTCGCAGCGATATGTGTTATGCCGAAATCAAAAAGAGGTTAGCATGGAAAATCAAATGACAAAAAATCTAAATCAAAACGAAAACAAGTTTTCAAATCCGTAACCCAATTAACATACTGTAACGCTCTGTCACTATGTGTTCCTGCCCTGATTGCCAAAAAAAGTCCATCTAATCTAGTAATCTAGTCAAGTGTTTGGTGGCTAGGACACGAACTCACGACCGTATAGAGAAATTGGAACACACGGCTTGCTTAGTTTGAATTAATTTAGCTGACCAAAACTTCACGGAGCCGAAAATGCACCATGTTGAAAAACAACCATCATAAGCCTGAAGTGATCTGATTTCTGTTAAAACAACTTCGCAAAGCGGACAGAATGCACCGTCAGTCGGTGACTACCGAGGAAAGACCCATGGACAATCAAAGATCCGTCACATCCGTCTATCGCATGTACCAAGCTTTGAATGGCCTTCTCACAATTATAGCAGCGGATCTTTCAACTCGGTAGTCGACCCACCACGGCAGCAGCTTCGTCGTCGCAAAAAAGACTTCGCTATTGTGCTCTTCGACGGGAGGAGAGGAAACGCAACCAAAAAGTTACCAAAAACACGGAACAATTGCCGGCCAGACGAGGCTACACTGACTGTTGTTTAGTTGGCTTGTATTTGCTAATGTAGTATATATGCTTATATAGTTGGAAAGTAAATCAAAAAATGATTATTCGATTCTGGGAATGGGAAAGCCGCGGGCTCAAACGGACGGATGGAGAGCCACGACGGTTTGATGTGCCGGTTGACAATTGCGCAAGGGAATGATGGAAGAAAACAGTCACTACGGTGTTTGTGGCTTTTTTTTTTGGTGGGGGGTTTGTGGAATTTTGGAATACAAATAAATTGAAATCGAACGCACAAGAGAACAGAAGACGGGAAACTAGTTCAGAAGGAATGCAAAGTTGCTAATAGTTGTAATAAGTCTTGTTGTATGTACACGTGTGACAATGTAATGAAAGGAACAGTGAAGTTAGAACATAAGAAATAGAAAAATTGACAAACAGAAACAGAACAGCTAAGAAACATATTTACACGGATTGAAATTTCCTGACATCGGTTAACGGATAAAAAAAAACAAATCGTCCTGCATATATCAGCTTAATTACACACTAAATTAGGGTTTAAAATTTCGGTAAAAATTAAATTTACGTCATGCTGATTATCAAAATTATTAACAATTCAGCAAAATGCCGTATGAATTCGGTTAACTCAAGGGGTAAGTCACTCGGCACATTGTGCCGATGTTAGATTCAACTCAGCTTGGGTACATTCATCGGCACACTTTCGGCATACCTTCGGTACCTTCGGCACAATCTCGAAGGCATTAGGTTGTTCTAAATAAAATGGGAGCACTGCTGGATAACTGGCATTGAAGTTATTCACAACATGACTTGCTGTTTGAATATATATTCAGGAACATCCTCTAATTGAATATACCAGAGGAACTCAGACCAACAGTTCACTTTTAGATATAAATACGAAATGTATGTTCTAGAGTGGGCTCAACAGTAAGAGGCAGTTATTCAGACCCCATTAGCACTCTTATTCCAAATAATGATGCAACTCACACAAAACAAACTACAGAAGTTTATTCATCATCCTCTATAGTCGGTTTCCAACAATGTACCCCATCTTTCCGGCCGTTGATAGACCGTTGTTTTTCACAGCACGGTAGGTTAGGTTTCTGGTCTGCCTTAGAGGGCATTATAAAACCCTAAAACTCGGGATTATCATCCTATGAACATAAAACACCAACTCCCGTCACTTCCCGCGTCATCCTCAATCCGATTTATCCTAGCGATTTCAAACCAAAACATTCAAGGTGTCAGAAATACCGGGTTGCTGGGTTGGGTATTTTACAAACAATCGCAGCTTGCTCTATGACCGGCACAATCGGTACACTTGCGGCACACTGACAAAAAAGATGACCCAAGATTGGTGTGCCGAGTAACCTACCCCTTGGGTTAACTAAAGTCAAATGAGGGGGTTAGAAGGAAAGGGGTGTAAGTGACATCGACTTTCTCTTTTGATAGTCACAGCTTTTTAAACAGATTTTGCGCTATTTCTACCCCATTGTTTGATCAAGGAGGTTCTCATCTGCAGCTGAATTATTACGAAAGAGAAAGTCGATGAAGGGAATCGATCAAAGCCACTTACACCCCTTTCCTTCTAACCCCCTCAAACATGCTAAGTCATCTTAGCAGTTTCAAGCAGTGATGGGCAACTGAACCAACCGTGTGCTGGTTCGGGTTTGAACAATACTCCTGTGTTTATGTAAGCGTGTACCCTGGTTCGGTTGAGTTTTCATGTACCCGGTGTTCTAAATCAAAGCCGAGTTGATGTACAGAACCGCAGCTTGAAAACCGACAACCAGTGTGCGAGAATTTGTGGAGATCGACAATGCTCACTATCCTCACCTATTAAGTTTAGTGTAGAGACCTTGATTTGAGCGCTCACCTTCTGTGTGCACTATCTCGACCGAGCTGTCAAGATAGGATCATTATTATCCATTCGTTAATTATTTTACCGTTCAGAAATACAAGTAAAAATAAAGTGTTCGCGAGTGTTTATTTATTCCTTTATTAATCCGATTCCTTACGCGGACAGTTCCCTGAGCAACCTACCATTGCCGTCAGGTTATGGGCCCAGCTGGAACGGATTATAAAGTTATCCGGCCAGTCGAGCCGAAGAAGGAAAGTGTGTTCCGCCATTGTGCGAGGTGTTTACCGCGAACGAAAAATATCGACAAAACATTGTGCTGTAAAGGATGGCTGAAACGAAATTCACCATCGTGAAGTTGGGTGGATCCAACTGGCAATCTAGGAAAGTGCGAGTGGAAGCGTTGTTCACCCGGGATGACCTTTGGGACGTAGTGAATGACCACCTGCCAGAAGAAAAAGACCACGATGAAGAGTGGAAAGACGTAGATCGCCGTGTAAAGGCAACGTTAGTGCTCCTTCTGTAGTGAAGAATTGTGTTCACGCGTGCGATGTATTCAATTCTGATATCGAAGGAACCTGGAAGCCAGAAGCAATCGTTTAATTCCATCTCAGTAGTTCTGCTTATTTGACTTTTCATTTTTCTGTTCCATTATCAAACTGTCCTTCAAATAAACCACACGTGAATTGGAAGAGCTCTGCTTTCACTCATAAAAGGTTATGGGCACCTCTACGAGAGAAGCTATGTGCGGTATTCCGCAGTTCAACGGTGGTTCCGGATTTCAGCACTGGAGCTTCAGAGTCAAGATGTTCCTGGATTCCGTGGGAGTATTGAACACTTTAACTGAAGAAGCACCGGCAGTAGCAGCTGAAAAGGTGAAATTTGAAGAGGCAGACCGGAAGGCCAAGTCATATATTGTCAGCTTCCTGCCGAATGAATGTTTGGCGATCGTCTGCGAGAAGAAGACGGCCAAGGACATGTGGAAGGCGCTCGAGAACACCTTTGCGAAGCGGTCAATTAGCACTCAAAACCTGGTGAGAAAGCAGTTGAATCGTCTGAAGTTGAGAGATGGTGATTCGTTGAGACCGCACTTGCTGGTGTTCGAAGACTTGATCCGGCAGCTGAAAACCGCTGGGGCGAAGGTTGAGGAAGCTGATTTGGTCATTTCGCTGTTCCAGACTCTACCGGATGCGTTGAGTTTGGAGATCGTGATGCAACGCTTATTGGCGGAAGAGCTGAAAAGAACCGAACGTCACGAAGACTCAGGTGAGATCAAGGCTGCGGCATTTTCTGGAGAGAAGAAACGCAAGTCTACAAAGTTCCAAGGCAAGTGTCACAATTGTGGAAAACGTGGCCATTTGAAGAAGGACTGTCGGCAGAAAAGCGGTGAAGCTAATTCGGCAGATCAACGGAATGCAGTAAGTTCCATTGCAAGTCGCAAGATTGAAAAGGCACCAAGTGGAAAGGTGGTATTCAAGCTCGATTCGGGTTCAAGCGACCACCTAGTGAAAGATTTGGCAGTATTCTCGGAAATTCGCAAGATGAAGCAACCGATTGTGATTCAAGTAGCGAAGGACGGAGAAACACTGGTATCAAAAACGGTTGGAACCATCGTCGGAAGCAGTAACAAGAACACGTCGTTGAACATGAAGGATGTTCTCTATGTCCCCGAGCTTCGCGACAACCTGATGTCCGTTAAAAAGTTGGTGAAGGCAGGCGTTGTGGTAATTTTCTGCGGTTCCGTTGCGGTTCTCAAGAAAAACAACAAAGTCATTGCTACTGCGAACTTGAGAGGTAACCTGTACGAGATCGAGGTAGACATTCCAGTGTCTTCGGCAAATATGTGTCAAACTGAAGCGACCAATTTGTGGCACCGAAGGCTTGGACACCTGAGTCAACAGGGAATGAAAGCGATCATAAGTAACAATCTTGTGGATGGTGCTGATTTCAGAGCAGACAAGCTGGCGTGTTCTGTGATGCGTGCGTGCAAGGGAAACAATGTCGTG